GAATTGACAGACATAGAAACATATGTCATTTAATGGACAATATTAGAGTGAGTAATGATACGAATTATCAACTAGATAGCGATCAGTCAGATTGCAACTGATCGGTTGATATTGTTAACCGTGAACGCTATTAACGCAGTGAAGGTAAATTAAAGATGCAGACTGATGTTATGTTTAGTTGATTTATTTGCACTGTCCAGGGATTGTCCTTCTCATCATAGTTTTTATGGGTTGGGAATCTATTCCTTCCAATCTTATAATTGTATACCATCGTGGGTGCATCTTGATACCAGATGTTTACTTCTGAGCGGACCTATTGAGCACTTAGGGTGTTAACTAGCCTCAGGTATGCATCGTAAAGTTTATAGCTTGAGAGGTAGGAAATTCGGACTTTCCCAAAAAGACAGATGTGCTGTCCGTATTGTAAACCGAAGGTCACCCAAAATCCCGAACAGGTATGCGATCTGGAGGACAATGTCAGGAGAGGTATGCTTCCGGTAATTCATTTTTGTAATGTATTGAAAATGATTGTAGAATTGTATTAGCACTTAGCCAACCTAACGGAAAGATCTCCCTTCTGTGAAGAACATCGCTGCGTGACAGGAGATCTCCCTTTTCAACTTCAGCAATGCGTTTTCTTTTTTGTTCTTGTTATTATAGTTATTGTTTATCTGGAATTGTTGCCAATTAATTGTACTACTTTTTCTGCTTTTATAAAGTACAGTATATAATAAAATGTAGCAATTTAGTGATGTTAAAATTAATTAAAAAGTTACACTATCAATTATGATTAAATAAAGTTATAATCGAACCATACCACACTGCAAGAAAATATTAAAATGTATTATACATTACTAATTTCACGTTGAAGTCGTGTTATTTGTCTTTAGTCATCTTTAATGTTCTCAATTTTACCTATATTTTTTTATACTTTTAATATATACTTTTAATTTGATATTTTATATAAACAACATGTGAAATCGTATAATTAACCACTTAAATAATTTTTAGACTTCTTTGTTTTTTAAGTAGTGAATATTAGTCTCCGATACTTGGAAAAATGCGCGGTGGACAGCGTATAGGTTGGCTTGTCCGAGCACGGTGGAAACGTATTGCTCTCTATGGCGAGCACGGTTGGCTAAGTATTAAAAAAAAAAACAAAAAAAAAAGAAAAGTTGGTAGAAATCTATAAGATCTCTATATATTTAAACACCGTAATAAACTAAGGATGCTTTTCAAATGTTCGTAAATAAACATAGTTGTTCCTGGGGGCGCTAATATCAAATGTTTTAATTTCGTCGTAACACTTTTTAAAAAAAGGACAAATAAAAATTTCGGTTGGACAAATGTGGATAAATAATACTGTTTGTTTTTTATACAAATTTGCACTTTGAAATGCCAACTTCACAGGCCTGGTTACGAGGCTTTTATAATTGCATCACGTGCTACTCCCTACTGTTAACCGTTAAAAATGAGTGTTAATGTCGTCTTGACGTCTTCACTATTTGCACATAAATCGAATAATTGGACTGATCGATGGCAACCAAATAATGAAACTTAATCTGCCAACAATGGATTCGCCAAATGAATTGAACTACGAAGTAACTGATTTCTTTATGTAGATCCATTACCTAGGGATCGTAAGTTCATTAACTAGAGAACATTAACTAGATTTAGATTAGTTTTGGTTATTAAAAACTTTAATTACTTTTCCTTCTTACGATAGATTTCGCAATTCTGAAAAGTTACCATGTAGTAAACTAAAAGTAACATTCAGCTAATATACTAGCCTTTTCTTTCAAATAAAAATGTATGTTATCAGTATGTTTTTTAATGTATTAATATAAACTAACAAGTTTTTACAGCAGAAGCTATGTTGAATAATAAATATACACCTGCACTAACTAATTAATTGCACATCAGCTTGCCATACTATACATTTGTTTTCATAATCGTAACTAATAGCTCGTTTACTAATCGCCCAATCGTTATCTGGTCTTGTATTTCTAACAGTTCGAATTTATTAAGTAACCTTATTAGTTAGTTTACCAACAACTCTACTGTCAAACATCTCTTTTTTCGTACTATATACTCAGTGTTACCAATAGTTCAATAGCTTCATTTTATTTTAATTCCTTCCTATTTTATAGCCCCTCTTTCATAATATAAATTATAAATAACTTTTCGATCACTAATATTATTGCAATGTCACGTAGCAATGTTCTACATTATATTGTACGTAATACTTGATATTTTCTTAAAATTTTACATTCATTTGAATGTTAATAAATTTTTGCTCTATCGCTCGCTACAATTTTTATTTTATCTTTTGTTCAATTTTAATTAATTTAACTATTTTTTGTTTTAATACTTTCAATTAAATAACGTGTATAATAACGTATTTTCTAAATAAATTAACTTGAAAAAAGATCAATTCGCGTAGATTCTTAATGGCGCTGTATATATCTTAAGTAATGCTTGAAATAATAATAAGATATATTATATATATATAGCGCTATTAATGTTGCAGCAATGTTGGATCAAATGATCGAAAGTTTTACGAAGCAGAGAAAGGACCGGTCGGGAAGGGGATCAAAAATTTGTTATGCAAATGAAGAAAGACTATAGGTGACGTGTGTTGTGCTCGATTGCCAACATGGTTATTTTCTGGCCACGTATACCGAAGACTTGTCAACAGTGTTCAGATAAGACAATCGAATCAACCATTCGAAATTCCCTACTACTATTGTTATAGTGATCGAACACCTGAATTACCGATGCGTATAACGTCCACCTGTACTCTTACATGGAGATGCAGTTTTTTTCCTAAATAACATTACATCTGACTAAACATTGTAAAAGCTGTTACATTATATAACGAAATTTGTTCACTTTTGCTAACATCGCGTATTCTTATGTAAGAATATCGCGTCAAACACGAGAAATAAATTGCAACTTTTATAAAAGTTACATATAAAAAGTTTCAAAAATTCTATTACCACTTACGTTTTAATATATTACGTATATGATTAATCCGTTTTATTAAATTAGACATGATTTAAAAAACTCGGTAAAAGGTTTTCTTCAGAAAGATTATATTTTTAAATTAATTAATAAATTTTTGTTAGAATTGGGAAACTCGAATATTAAAACAAGGAATTCCTAAGTCGCAAAATTAATGTAACATATCATGTTGATTTTGAATTTTTCTTATTATTTATTTATTAATGCTTCTACTTGTGTTCGAGATTTCGTAACAAGTCTCACCTAATATACACCACTCTGTTCGTAGTTAGGTCACTTTCTCAATAATTCCCTACTTTTATTTATTCATATAATATTTTTATAATTCCGCTCAAAACTAAGAAACTACTGACAATCTGCAAATAGAAATGTGTTTCACAAGAATTTTTGTAAAATTAATCGTCTACAATAATGTTTAAGATTGATCGTCTTTATGGTTAAGCGTCTATAACCAGTTTCAAAATTGGCGCGCAACGTAATAGCACACATTTTCATTTCCTACTTTCCATAGCAAATGCACGATAAGGAAATCGAGAACTCTCTTTTATTTCTTCGTTGGATTTTTAAGCAACATAGCTCATTTATGTAAGCTTTTTGCAATATTTTACAAATCACATTTCTAAAATCATTATACAATCGTACACATATTTTTAAAGAATACGTTCTACTAAAAAATTACATGTTAAATGTATGTTAGTATTACATATGATGCTGAAATGAATTTTTAAAACATATTTCCTAAAATAATATAAAAAACATATTCTGCATAAAAATTTGAAATAATAGTCAATTTTTTCGTGAGAAAGAAATATCTTTCATTTTCAGTCATAAATGGATTGAAAATGACCCGAAGCATGACAATATAACTGTGTTAATTGCAGTAAGTGATCAAAATGGTTTCTATTGACTTTCATGCATTAAATTAAATGTAAAAAATATCAACTTTGTTACAATTTTATTATTTCATTACATGCCGTTCTCTAATAACTGTATAGTTTGTGAACGTGTGCCGATTATACGGAGACGATAGAACGACATTGTTGTTGCGATTAATAGTGTTACTAATTGTAAAGAAAGTAACTAAGTCAAACCATCAACGTTATTGTAAATATTTTTAATAATTATTAATAATTATTAGCAAAGTAGGCACTAACACATCAAAATGTAACTGTTCTTCCAAGTTTTGGCACGAAAATTATATATTGTTTTAAAAAATCCCAATGACCTTGATATTTTACCAATAAACAAGTTAATAAGAAAATACATTTCAGCATCACTTATTACTTTTGACAAGGTGTAATTTTTTTAAAAAATATTTTTCTGTGCAACATACTTCTTAGAAATTATTTAGGGTCATCAAGATTTATAATTTATCCTGTATACTATATGTAATAATTTATAATAGCATTTTAATAAATAGTAAATATTTTTAAAAAGTAAGCTTTTTAGTAATTTTAAAATTGTTTTGATAAAATATTAATAAATGTTGCATTATAAGTATTATTTATGTAATAATAATTGTGTAAATACCACAGTTTCCCCTTCTCCAAATACTTTATCCATATCATCAGTACCTTTGAAAAAGTATTTCCATATACTCTGACTAGATAAGAATCTTTTTCATCACATGTATAAAGTACAAAATCATATTGATAAAAATACCATAAGACAGAAGGACTTATAAAAATTGATTAACTTATTTACACAGTAATTCTATTCACAATAAATTTGATAACCACCATGACTTAATCATGTTAAAATTTAAAAGAAGCAAACAAAATGAAAGTACCTTTGTAAAAGTATTTCCAAAGCTGTATAGTATATTTGGAATGTAATGACATTGAAATTTATGAAAAGCATGCAACCCTGTTATATTAGTATGTTAAAAAATTGGGACTTTTTTCTTGAACAAAGACTTGAATAGCATATAAGTAATACATATAAATAATTTCAAACAAATGAGTATTGGCACTTACCAACAATCCCTTGCTGCTGCTGAGGTTGAAGTACTCTTTTTTCTTTATCAGTCTGTTTTTCCATAGATACCACAGTCCCTGAAGGTACAGTAGAGACAAAATTTGCAGGTGTAACTGGTGTTATAATTTTACTTTTAGTCCAAGGATTGACTGCAGGTAAAGGAGCTTCTACATATTTAACAGGAGCTGAAGATTGAATTTCCGATTCTGTCTCTGTTTCTTCTTTATCTTTCAAAACATCTTTATTTCCCACAACATGCTCCATACCCCCTCTATCTCCACGATCTCGTTCCTTATAAGATCTTTCATTGCTTCCAGTATGACCACGAAGAGGATGTCTATGATCACGATGTTTCTGCCTTTCTCTAAAATCTCGCTGCTGCTCCCTTAACTTTTCTTTTCTTCTAGCACTCTTTGGTGCTACTGTCTGAAATTCTCCATCACTTCCTATGTCACCATTCATTTGTTCAACAGTGGCTTCTTGTCTTTCCTCAACTAAATTATCCTTCTGAATAACTAACTGATTCTGTTCAATGCCAGTTGGTAATTCGTTTCCATAACGTTTCTCGATTTTGCTTTGTGAGTTGATTCTCCTTCCAGTTCTTTGATAAGACTTCCCTTTAACAGTTAAATTCTGAGAAGCAATACAATCCTTGATGGGTACGGATTGTTGTTGAACCACTTGACTACCAATGTTCTCCTTGTTGTTACCTTTGTTAACAACTCGGGTCTCGGTGCCACTTTTTGGATTCAAGATACTTGCATAAGAGACTCCGGGGCACTGTTCCTTCTCGGCACTTCCCTGCGTGCCACTGGCCACCTTGGCCGCCATTTTGAATAGTACGCGCCGAAAGACAAAACACGAGGTCCGAACACGAGGATTTTGTTCAAAAAGGTTTTATAAGATATTGCTTCCTCTCAGGCGGTTGAGGAGTCCTGAGGAACGTCGAACACCCTCGGACACATTAATCTAACCGAACAGCCTCGTTGCCTGATTAGAGATTCGAGACGTATCGTGTGTCGATTCGGCTTTAAAACATCAATCTAAGGATATCCTCCATACTACAGACTGGACTCATGTCTCTTTTGAGTTCGTGCTCGACAAAGCACGAACACATTAAATTTAATAGAAGTTGGCGTTAAATTTAACACAAACGTAGAACATTAGCCGTTACTCCTTTTCCTTGACGAATAGAACGCCCACTCGAAACTCGTCACGAGGAATCGCTCTTTCCAGAAGGCGCGGCGTGCACACGCGGTCGTTACTGAATATCTATAACGTCTCTTTTTTTCTCTTATACTTTTTTAATTCAGCCGTACCAGAATATTCTTTAGAAATTCAACGAAGAACAAATTTCTGACGAAAAAATTTCTACTAAAATTCAATCGAATGTACGAAGAATTCTCGTTTTATGTACACGAGGCAATAGGTTGCGTGGTTAAGAACACGCTGACTCGGCGATTTCACTAGACGATCGAAAATCAGCCGGTACAAATATTTTCCTAACCGATGAATAATTAAATGATGGTTAATCTACCTTCTTTATAGATGATATACGTCGAAGAAATACAGGAGTATACGCAATGCGTACCGAGTAGAAACGAGGAAGTTAGAGTAGACAATCAGAATACACCTTGTTAATAAAAGTAATTTTTCTTCTTTGCGTTCTTCTTTATATTTTGCGTATCTTTCCTGGATTGTTTGATGTCAAAAATTTTGTCACAACAGCAGCGAGTTCAGGAGCACCGTTTCAACGTCACGTTACCACGGATTACGTAAACACGACATTTTCGGCGATCTTTTTCCACGGTAAAGCGGTCTGCAAAACACATGTGGCCAACGCTTGCTCCTGGCCTGTATGCGAGCGGCTACACAGTTTCCGGTTTAATCGATTTTACTAGGCAGTTCTGCAGATAGCAGCACCGTATTTCCTTTTTTTATTAATGCCCGCACGATTTAAATTAGTACGTTCGGGTCACTGCGAGAATTTTAAACAAAAGCTTTAAATGAAATAAAAAAGAAAAAGATCTGTTTACCTCTAATCCTATTGTCCATACTTGACATATTTTCACTGAATATTTAATACAATTTAACTTGTTTTCTATATGGCGGCCTGTAATATGTATGATTTTTATTGATAAGATAAATAATTCACATTGCCTATAATATTTTGCATTAATATTTTATTCCTTGTAAGCTTCCACTAATCATATATGAATAACATGATAAACAGATAAACAATGATTTAGATAATTTATTCTTTTTTACAGATTATGTTACAATTTATTCGCATTGCATAAAATATAACTATTTTATATAATTTTTATATGATAATAAACAACATTTTGTATATTATACAATGTATAAAGGATCTGTTCACATATACGATTATCTTCACTAGGTATTTTAGTTTGTAAAATCGATCAAATGACACAATAAAAATCGTAAAATATCTAAAAAATGATTTAAATATAATGCTTCTTAATAATATCATGAATAGTCACACAAAATTCCATTTCAAAAGTAACCACTTGCTCAGGCTATCTTTAAAGTCATCTAAATTTTAGACAAGACATTAGACATCTGCTGAAATTGCGTATGTAGATATCAGCTGACTTGCATAGGATATTTTTTCATTGATCGCTCAAACGCTTCTACTATAGTAGACCTGCAAATAGTAAACGAATTAAATACAAACCAAAAGTGTAACTTTAGATTGTAGTTAAGAAATATAGTACTTATTGCCAAATATATGTATATTTATATTTTCCTGCATATGACATACAATTGCATACCTAAATACTTTCTGATGAAGAAGATAGGCAGATACATGTCCAGCATCTATGTACCGAATTTCAGCTCCTGGCCAGATTTTATCCAAGCTCATACAATTATCACGTGGGACGTACGCATCGTTCCTTGCACAGACAGCAATAATCAGCTCAGTATCAACAGGCACTTCAAAATTTTTTAAATGCGTACATTCGTCCATTATTCCGCACATAAATTGCAATGCTTCTCGTTCGCGCCATTTACAATCCGAAAATAACGGATGTCTTGGAACTGGTAACAAACAAATACCTATTGCCAAAGCAAAACGTGCTATAAACGTGCTTGTACCAAACCACGCTTTTGTAAATTTAGCATTTAACACTGAGGAATATAGAAACAATATAAATATATTAGCAATGTAAATATCTATTAGTAGGTTGTTATCTATTATCACATTACACATTTGTAAATGTTGTGGTTAACGTTTCTTTGAATTATTCTAAATGTATGAGGACAACGAAATTCGTTACCATTTAGAATTATTAAATTATGGGAGACCAAATACATAAATTAATTTTTGAAGAATTTTATGTTTTTCGATACCTACATTTAAACCATAGAAATATTTTGTTAAAAAAAAAGGGAAAGAATAAATTTATCATTATTGATAATGATAATATGTTATAAATATACATACGAAGTATTAAATTACCTTATGGTAGATTACCTTTAAGTGTATTTGAATCTTTAAATCCCAATTTGTTTGATAAAATGTTTAAAGGAAATATCCTTGCTGCTTTTTCCTCAGCAACTTGATTCTTCAGAGTATTGTCTTGGTTTTGCGAATCACAGTCGTTATGTACTTTATTATTAATCACAGTTTCAGAGGTAGTTGTAGTATGTACATCTTCGGTAGTATTGTCAGACATATGATTTAATTCATTAACTCTTTTCATACTCGAAGGATAATGCTGTGCAAAATGTTGGCCAGCTAAAAACGCATCCTAGAAATAAACGAAATATTTTTTTCTTGCAATTGTGTATAAAAATCTATGTCTCGTTTGAGATAATTATCCACTTACTTCTTTACCAATAATTTTCACCATTTTGGCAAGATCATTTTGATATTGTTCATTTTCAAAATATTGGTTTTCTAAAAGCGTCCAATTAATCGAAGCGCTCATTACACCTTGAGTAAATACTGGTGATGCTGTTGACCATGAAAGGCAAGGGATTAATGGAATTGGTTTCGGCCAGTTAGTCGCTGCTAATGAAGCCATCTAAACAAATCAAAAAATCAATATACATTGTTAATGTTTACTATAAATAATTTAATTTATCAATATTACTGAACCTTTAAATTTAAAATGAAATTAAAGAATACAAACATGACCACCCATTGATAAGCCTGTCAACCCTAAAGGTCCAAAACCTTGTTGCTCGCACCAATTTAGTAAAACAATTGATTCCATTATTAAACACCCTCCCATGATAAAGATGTCACATACATTATGTAAACAAGATCGTCTACAAAAATCAAATCCACATTAATAAATAAATGTGTATTTGTTCTGGAATACAATATGTTTTTAATGTTACAAACCTTTGGAATATAAGTTCTTACATTTGATTCTGTGGTTTCCTTGAACCATAAAATGGATTTTCCAATAACAAAGATGCAATTCCTGATTCTTTTAGTAGTGGTTTGGCAATTAGATTTCTTCTCCTCCAAAAGAACTGATATTATGTTTTCAGTAAGTTTTATATTTAAAATGAAAAGTAATACTATAATTTATTTAAAAAATAATCTACTCACATGATCTCCTGTACCAGCAAGATGTAAACAAATGGGTTTTACTTTATGGGAATGCCATTTTGGTGGTAGTACTAATTGGAAATGTGCAGTTATTGTCTCATAAGGCATTATATCAGGGAGGTGTTTATTGAATGGACTTTCAAAACATCCTTCTATGATATGGCAATCTGACCATTCTTCATCCTAATTAAATATATATATAAATTACAGATATCATACATATATCTTTTTAGGAAAACATTTATATTATACCTTAGTTATGTTAACTGGATAGTCACGGGGTATAAGTTTATAACATGTTTCTCTGTTGGCAAGGAGTCTTCTAAATTCAAAAATCCTAAAATATAAATTTAATGATTAATACCTTATAACTCATATATGTTACTTTGCATATACATTTATGTTACTTTAAATTTCAGAATCCATCATTTTTTAAAATTCTGTTTATTTTCCTTTTAAAAATTAAACATTCATATCTTTCTCCCAACAAGACTAAAATATTACTTATTCACAAAATAAAAAATAATAGTTAACGTTATAATAAGCATTTTATTGGTATATATATACTTTAGAATATTCTAGAACACAGTGCAAATGTTCAACCTTATTCTAAATAGGATAAAAATTAAAGTACTCTTACCTTTTAAGATTGTGAGGACTACCCCAGCCCTTCGTAAAGAATTTAGTTAGCAAAATACTTCTGTAAACGGCATCCAAACGACTTCGTGGCATTATGAATCATTAATTTCTAAAAATTTGTAAACGCTTTTTATCCTAATGACGATAGAAATTTATTTGAGATAAAAACGTGTTAATTTTATTCGGATATTTGTTATTCGATTTGTGATTTGAGATAATTCGGATATTTTGCGCAAACACTCTCATATCGCAATTTTCAAAATGCTGTTAATGATGTCGACATTGTTCTTGGACTGACTGCAAACTTGCCGCGATAAACAGATTATCGCGTATACTAATCAGGCGATGGGAATGATCGAATCAGGTGACGTTTTGCGAGTATATCGCGTATGAACATCCGCTTCTCGCATCTTCACCTCACTACAAATACAACTACAATTTCGACGGACAAATTCCTTAAATATCAACCATTGGTAAGAGGCTGCTACCTCTCGATTTGTTACGTATTTACAATGTTAATTCCGAACCAAGGCGCACAAATAATAAAATTAGATAGACTTTCCTGATTTCTATCTAATTTCGCTAATAAATATGCGCCATCTATTGATTACTTATTTTTTTAAAGGAATATCAAATGGTTCAAATAATATTATTTTGTAACACTATATATATAACACATTATTGAATTTCTAACCATTCCTATAAATGTTTGTTGTGTATTAAGATAGTAATATTGTAAATAATTTGAAAATATTAAGGAAGTTTGTAAATTGTCAAATTATGCGACACAAAAATGCATTGGATATGAGGTCTTGCTCATAATTCATTTGTGATTAAAATGAAACGTGTAACATGTAAATAATTACTTTAATAATTAGTCAAGAATTATGTAAATATTTGCATGTCACTTGTTTCTTACTTAATTATATTTTATCGAAAAAGGAATAGTTAGACGGTTGTAAATAAACAAAGTTAGCTAAGCTAACATTAATGAAAATAACAATGTCCGCTTCTCGTGTAGATGAGCTGATCAGTTACTTCAAATCACACAACAAAATTAGAGAACAACAAAGTCATTCTGCTAAAGTACATAGCGTAGGATGGAGTTGCGATGGGAAACTGTTAGCTTCCGGATCTTTTGATAAATCTGTTTGCATTTTCTCCCTTTGTCCGGATCGTTTAGTAAGTTAATATAACCTCAATATCAATTTTCGTTTCTCTTTTGTGTTGTGATTTCTTTATTTAACACTTAATTTTTAATTTTATTTGTTATCTAATGTTTATTATTAGTTAGTTGCAATTTTATGAAATTACGATTAATATAAAATAATCTTTTTGATGATTTTATTATTTGAGGTTGTGGTTTTAAAAACCAGTTCGACCAATTTCAACCTATTAATATAATTCATTGTAGAAACAAGAAACAACTTTCAGAGGGCATGGTGGTAGTGTGGATCAATTGTGCTGGCATGCCTTTTACCCTGAATTATTATCTACTGCGAGTGGAGACAAGACAGTTCGTATATGGGATACGAGGACTCAAAAATGCACAGCAAACATCAGTACAAGGGGTGAAAATATTAATATATCATGGTCACCTGATGGTAATACAATAGCAGTAGGAAATAAAGAAGATTTAGTGACTTTTATTGATGCACGGGTAATGAAAATTCGTGCGGAAGAACAATTTAACTTTGAAGTGAATGAAATTTCATGGAATAAGGATTCTGATACGTTTTATCTAACTAATGGCCAAGGCTGTGTTCATATACTTAGCTATCCAGATTTAGAACTGTTACATGTAATCAAAGCACATCCAGGGACATGTATTTGTATAGAATTTGATCCTACTGGAAGATATTTTGCAACTGGTTCAGCAGATGCATTAGTTTCTTTATGGGATGCAGATGAACTGTGTTGTTTAAGAACATTTTCAAGATTAGAATGGCCAGTGAGAACCATATCATTTTCTTATGATGGACAATTATTGGCTGCAGCATCTGAGGATCTTGTGATAGATATAGGTGAAGTTGAAACTGGAGAGAAGATTGCAGATATACCAGTAGAGGCAGCAACCTTTACAGTAGCATGGCATCCAAAACAATATTTGTTAGCATATGCATGTGATGACAAAGATACTTATGACAGAAAACGTGATGCTGGCAGTTTGAAAGTATTTGGATTTGCCAATGACTAAAACAATATTTTTAAACTTTTATATAAAAATATATTATTGTGTAAAAAAGAATGATTTAACTTGATTTTCGTACCTGCCCTAACAATTTTTTAAATACATACTTTTAAATACTTCAGATTATCATAATTGTATATTGGTTCAAAAAAAGTTTAATCTATGAACAGTAAAATGCTATAACCACTTAGCAGTGGAAAGATGGAACTAATCTCTTTATGACGTAATTAAAAAATTCAATTTCTCAGTCTACAAAGCAAATCCTTGACCTGTTTAGGAATTAAATTAAATTAAAACTGTAACTCTCAGAAAACTTCTCTGTATACTATTATGCCGATTTCCTAGATAATTAATTAATTACATGTAATTAGTGTAGAGTGCTCTATTTTGGATATGAACACTGTACTAATTGATCCCATTTAGTTTTGCCTCCCTGTATATAGTGTTTGAAACATTCAATTGATGAAGATTTTCAATATTCTACTGTTTTGCTATTTTGCTGCCATAGTTACTAAAACTCATATATGTTATAATTCTTTCTTAACCTGAAAATATCAGTGAATCTATTTTATACTATTTTAGTTCAATCTTTTATTATTGAATCTTTTTATTGATTATACATTCCCATGTCATGCTTAGAAGAGAGTCAGGCTGATTGTAGGTGTCTGTATACATTAACGTTAACAGATGCAATAATTCATGAACAATTTTCTGAAATGAAAGATAGTTTCAATCATGTGCCCAGTATTCATGAAGTGGATGAAGAAGAAACTGACGAGGAAAATACCTGTGATCAAGAATCAAAGACCCCCAAAGATATTGAACAATCTGCAGATTTAGCAAAAGATACTATAGATGAAGATTCCATCTATAGCAATGACTCGTTCTGTTCTGATGAGTCTGGCGATGAATCTGAAGGAACTAACATCACATCAAGATCGCTTAATGAGTCCCATCATTCTCCTGAAATCACTAATTGCACAAGTAATCAAAAAGATAGAAAAAGTGAAAAAGAAGAAGGATCTGAAAATATAATACAAAACAATGAAATTACAAACTTAGTTTCCTGTAGAAGTTCAATATCTGAAGATAATTCTATAGGCATCAAACAGGTAAGGAACAGAAGGAGGAATATGAGTTTTACAGATGATGAAATTCGGAAGATCGAATGGGAGAATCAAATTCTTTTGAGAAAGATAATGGCACAACAAAGACCAAAGGAGAAGATACTTCATGAAAATGTCCCATCAACGCGCATAAGCAGCTCTGCAATAAATAGAAAGAAATTACAGAAGAAAATAGAAAATGAAAATATAGTATGTAATAAGTAAATATGTTTAATGTAATTAGTTATAGGATAAATTAATGAAATATATTTACATTTACAGTTACTGTTGCAAAGGATACAACAAACTAAATCACGTGTTATGAACAATACAACAAAACCTGGTTGTAGACAGACAATTTTATAATCTGTAAGAAAAAAATAATTTTTATATGTGTTAGATTACAGAAAATTTTTGATTGATATTGTCCTATTTTACATTAACTATCTGTAATACAAACCTTATAACTGTGGTTTATTTTCTGCACCACAAAAAATTTTAAATACTTATATTTTAAAATTATAAAGAAAAGATGTCAAATTTCATAAATATACTTTATCAGTTTTGTAATAAAACTTATTTTACTAAATTATTTTAAACAGATTTTAATAATTCCTTTCATAAATAATTGAATATTTTAAGCCACTTTCTTTAAAACAAATTATTTATAAAAGTAAGATTCAAATTATTAAAACGCAGTAACTTTTTTACCAGTCTTGAAGAGTAGGTACACATTTTTATTTTGTTTTGTATACATCATAACTTTGTAAAATGTTTTGAAAACTTACCGAAGAAATTTCTACAAGTCAAGACTATAAAAATCACAGTTCTCACTCGTTCCAAATAACTTAATTATTACCTTTCTTTACGTAACATCAAGACCAACATTCTTTGAGTATTGTAATAATTTTTCATGTATGAGTAGAAAGTATAAAATAACAAATAATCAAAAAAACAAAAACCAATAAATTAGAAATTCTCTTATTTTTATATGTTCATTTCTTTGATTGATTTATGCTTCGATTGTTGTAAAATTTTACTTCCAATTCAAATTTTAGTTGGTCATTCTAATTCGAAACCATGAAAAAGCTTGTGATTTCGATTCGATATTTTTCGAAATTTCAACGTGCCATATTAAAGTACCAATAATAACATAAGACAACAAATGATAACGTTAAAAATTTAACAAGTACAAAACAATTTTGCCCGAAATTGTTCGGTATTATTATGCGAGGTACTATTCAACAACATATCACAAATGCACGAAACACGAATAATAACAAAATCAGCCTGTGGTTTAAGCGTTACCAATCACGAAAGGTGTTGCTAATAAATACATTATTACTTTCCATATTAGAAAAGAAAATTGCTTTAACCAGGTCTAGATATCACAAGATACAATATTGAAAATTTTTGGAAACGAGATTAGTCTTCGTGCTTTTTCTTCCAAGACTCTGAGGATGATGGAGTCCATATTGTACTGAGCGAACGAAATGGATCGAAATCCGATCTTTCCTAAAATAATATTGAAAGAGTTTTGTATATAGAATCGAGATAAATATATGAGTAAAAAATTATTCTCTTACTTGTGTATCCGATTCTGTTTGTAATGAAGATAATTGTGAAACTAGAGATGGTGCAGCTGCACCCCATGGACTTGCAGCCCATACACCTCCTGTATTTATTCCCCAAACACCACTTCTTTCTTCTCCTACTGCTGTTCTAGTATATAAAGGTTCCCAATTTGATTCGACTGTTACCCAGTTATCTGTAAATTCAAGTTCATAATATTTTGATTATTTTAAAATAAAAAAAATATGGTCATATTTAGTTGCTATATACTATGTAATAAAAAGATTTTTTACCCTTTAATGTATCCATTAACATTGGAGGTTTCTCTGAGGATTTTGGTGAATCCAACTGAAATCCAGTTGTACTATCAGACAATAATTTAAGCATAGGATTATTATCTTCCCATAACTGACATCGTGTATCTTCCTCAGGACTCTCTAATTCCATTAATGGTTCATCGGTTTCTGGAAGATCGTCGTATGGAACCAATTCACGTTCAAACTGAAAAGTTCCAATCGAATTGTGATTGTAAAAATATTAGTATCACACAGTCATAAATTAAATTATTTTTTAACTTACCAGTGGTTCTGTGAAGGCATTTATGAAATAACTATTTGAATGTTGCGAATTATTCTGCATTTTCAAAGAATCTTGACTAAGTGGCTTCTCTTTCTCAACAGATTGAATGCAGAAAGACGGAGATTTCGATACCATTCTGTATTCCTTCGTACTATGTATTAATTCTTGACTTGATTGTTGTTTAGTATAATCTACATCTTTGGTGTCGTTATTGAAAACCATTGACATGTTATGCGTGGTCGTTTGAGTTTTGTGCAACTTATTTAAACCCGAAAACGACGAAATACTCTCTTGATTTCGTGCTACGACGTCACTAAACCTAGCTCGATTTTCACCCCAATATGATGGCGGCGGAGGTAACGGAGCGGAAACAGCTCCCAATGCACGTGTTACATCTTCTCTTTGGTTAGTACTTCCATTTAATGTTGCTACTATAATAAAAATAATTAATAACTAATGGTCAATAATTAACAAAATTAGATTAAGAGATTTGGAGATTTTATATACCTTTTATATGTCCTTTATCGATGACTCGACGTTTCTGGGATCCCTTATCCTTTCTAGGAGGATTTTTATTCTGTCGTGGTAACTTGAAGGATGACTCAACAGTACGGGTTGTATGAATATGGTGTTTCATAGTAGATCTTGTATTCGTTTTCCATCTGTTTGGATTATTGTGTCTTTCTTTATCATATTCATCGTCGTCACAGTCACCTTCGTAATTATCTCTATAATCTACGCATGGCACAGAAACAATTGATTGAGGTTTAGTCTTTTTAGTTGCAGGTTTCCTTTGCAACTTATCGGATTTTCCACATGGTTGATCGAAATTCTATAACAAATAATATTTATTGTAAAATTTATTTTCTAATTCGTAAAATGAATAGAAGTAGTAATTTGATGTACATACAGTTTGACCAGGTTTCTCACCTTACAAAGCGGTGGATCATCTTGAACAGAACTCTCTGTTGTTGTAGACGACGTTTCTTCCTCCGAAAGATGAATGTTCCGTTGATTACTATTCGGCTCAAATTTTTTAAAGGATACGTGATTGTTATTGCTATTTCCAACTGCAGTTTGTTTTCTTTTACTATCTAGCTTGTTAGTTCGAGTATTATTAAGAAGTCCCGTTGTGTCAACTTGAACTTCATGATCGACCAGCTTCGTTTCCGTCTTAACATTTGTTGTTTGATTAGACTTCCCTTTCCTATTCGTTACAGGACTTGTCTTTGTAAGCGTATTTATAGGGTATTTTTTTTCTTGAGTTCCCTGGATATCAGAAAATGCGTTCTCTGCCACAGAATTATCCATTTGAACTTCCTGTGCATTGTTTTGCTTTTTATTATTCCTTTTCTTGACACCAAGCGTAATATTGCTTATAACGTTACTGTTATCTAAATTCGATTCTTCGCACCGTTTAAATGTCAACATGTCTTTCGATTCGGTGTCTAGCTTAAATCTGCGTTCCTCATCCGCAGACCAGTCAGGAATTTTCAGTCCTTTTTGCATGTTATCTTTGTCCTTATACTTTTTCACGTTCATCAGTGCCCAATCTGGATACGTTTCTTCTTTTTTTACCATTTTCTGTTTTTCCTCGTTTATTAATTTCTCTTTCAAAGAAGTCGAATCTTGCGTTGTATGTACAGGCATGTGCGATAATAACCTTAAATCTAGAGGTGGTTGAACTGAACTTTCTCTCGAGAAGTTAGCTAAAGCTCCCCGTAATATTCGATCCGCTTCAAGAAATGAAATAGCGAGAACACATATTAATAATATCGACGAAAGACTTATAGCTGCCCACTGCACAGTGTATTCCCATGACGGTCTCGCAAGTGCCGCTGTGCAAGCTTCCAAAGAATGCGGAGGAAGAGTAGCGAGTAAATTAAGTATCACCATACCGTTTTCGATATCACTATCAGAACCCAAACTTGTAGATATCAGGAGCTTCCTTTCGATTCGTGAC